TCGAAATCTTATCAATCACTGCCGATGCCGTTCATCAAGCCAGGCATACGCCATATACCCGTTTTTTTCTAGCGGTATGACTGCGAAGAAATGAAGTTAGATTCCTTTTTTCTAGATTTCTTTAGTTTTTTTTCAGAGTGTTTCATACTGTGTGACGGAAGGGAGGTTATCGACGTGGATCGCTTGAAACCCTCGGCGATGTTTCGTTTGACGTCGAGCTGTCTCTGAACTCTTACACTAGTTTTCGGAATGTGCGCCCTCATACAACGCATGTTTGCTCTCTCAAAAAATCCACTCGAAGGCGCTCAGATTGAGGGGAGCTGACGAAACCGCAAATGAGAGAGAGAAGCAAAAGAGCGGCAGCTCTTCCCAGAAATCCACAGCTATCACATCAACACAAAAGCTAAGCAACTTTATTCGTTTATACTCAGCCTTCATAGAAATTCACAATTTTAAAGGGTAGTAATGCTGAGATAATCTTAGTTGAGTAGTGAACGTTCAATCGATCGATCGGTCGTCGCTCGTCGGGTTCGCCAATGTTGTGGAGTACTTCTGACGGTCCTATGACGACTCGAAGGTACGGTCGAATGGTCGAGGAAAAAAAAATCATGGACAACAAATATAATGCATATGAGACTTATGAGACATTCATAGTGAAACCTAAGCCTTAACGACGTGATCCCTAACAGGATTAGAGTGAGCAGTGAAATCGCGATCGGGCAGCTTCATTGCGCTCGTTGTTTCTGTTGGGTACGCATACGAACGAGACTGTTCTCAGCGACTTCAGCACGTTCTTCAGCGTTCTCCAGGGCCAATTGAATTTGACGGAATTTGGACAGATTCTGTGTTGCGACTTCTTCCTGAAAAACTCAATCATCGGTCAACACAACATCAAAATTAATGAAACTTCATAAGTCCCTAGTTTTGCGAGTACAGACAAAAGCTTACTCGTGAAAGCACCTACAAGAAGGGCGCAAGTGACTTTTGGCGGGGGGGGTGGCCGGGAGACGGGCAAGAGAATCGTAATTTGCCGCTCCGCCGCGCGCGGCGATGGGCGCGGCGTTTTCTTAACTCGTGTTAACCTGTCGATTGGAGCACCGGACTTCATGTAGACCCCGTCATCGTAGACATTCATGACTATTTTCGGTTCTGAATTGCCTGTTGTCGCCATCTACTACCTGAAACCGTTTGCGGGCGCGACGTAGCACGCGACGCCCACCAGCGCGGTGAATTACGATTCTCTTGTCACCCGGGGTGGCCACACCTGTAAGCTCTTGTCAGCATATCAAATCCTGTAAGCTTTAGACATGTGAACACCGGACAACCTTGTCAGCATCCCATGAGCCTTGTCATAACCTGTTCAGCACTCTATGAACTCCTGCCAAACTTGTCAAAAGGCTAGTCGTGACTTGGAAAAAAGGAAAAAAATTTCAAGGCGGTTCAAAAATTTTTCCAAGCTTGGCATGGATTCACACTAAACTTGACAGGAATTTGCAGGGCTAGCAGGGTAAGACAGGATTGTGACAAGGTAAAAGGAAAAATAAGGACGCACATTGAAAACGCTCACTTGTGACTTGTGTGGCCACCCCTAAGGTTATCAGCACCTAGAAATGGATTCTGTCTTTGGCGTTCAATCCTCATTTAGGATGGAGAGGGCTCGCATTCTTCTTCCACTCACAATAGCAGCGCCTATTAAATGCGATATAGCCTACACTCCATATCCCGAAGATGGGGAGGGTGTGGCGCACTTCGTTTAAACACGGCGTAGGACCCCTTTTTCGTGGGAACCTTCCATTTGAGACAACAGCCATCCCGCCTTGGGCTGGACAACGACATGATTACAATCGTCTGAAACAAAAGTATCCCACCAGAAGCACAACTGCTGCCAAAGCACAAATGAAGTATGCAGCCACGCCCTCTCTACCCACAGGTATAGAAGTGTATAGACCGGCTTGGTGGGGTCAAGATCTTGATCAGATCGTGTACAGACCAGCGTTTCCATCCTCTCAGAAGAACTCTATAGCAAGTTACCGGCTCCAGAAGGTAGAAGGCCTGAGCGGCTTTCATATCACCGGGTGCAGTTTGCTTATTCAGAAAGAGTAGCTACAGAAGAAAATTCAGCACTTTAGTTTGAGTAGTTTCATCAGTTCTGAGCTCAATTTGTATGGCTATGAATAAATGAATAATGCGCGATGCCTATGAATAAAAGCGCTCAGTTCTCGTGAATACCTTGAAAAGCTGCTTCGACACACTTCCTGAAAAGAAACTCACACATAGCTATTTCAGCTACTACTGGCACGGGCGTTGCTCGACCGGGAGGGGGGTAT